TAGCGAGGCTTTCCCCCCAGTTAATTCTAACAGGTAGAGAAATATATTTTTAAAATATATATTCAATATATTTTGAAAAAAGCGTGGTTGAAAATCAAAATAGGTTAACTAATATCACTCCAGCTCCTTCACTGAAGTTCTCATCAGAGGAAGAATAATAGTAAACATTGTTCATGATGGTAACTGATTGGGTAATTGTGTTCCAGCCTCCTTTTCCAATAAGGCCACAAATCTAGCCTATTATACTACTGGGAACAGCAGAGCTTGGATGGGTAGCCTTGCCAAGGGAAGATACTGCAAAAGCACTTGTCTTACTGACCGTTGTAGCCTCATCCATCACTCAGAACTAGCATATAGAACAATAATTACAGAAAGGCAGATCCAAAGGGATTGATCAAAGAAGTATTTCCTTGTTTAAGTCCATATTCGTAGGAAACAAATCAGGAGGTGCAAAGGTGGGAGTTACTGGTGCAAGAAATGCTGGATGGAAGCCAAATTAACAGTTCTGATGCTCTGTTTGTTATAATATCTCAGGGTCTGATAGGGGAACAGGCTGGCCAGAGCGATTGACAAATAGGAAGATGCACTTGTCATTCACAGTTATCTGAAACAATTGTATAATTTTAAAAAGTGTAAGATCTACTAAAAATATGATTGTTTCTAATTCTGAGTGGGTTTGTATGTCATGCTAAGCCACCTTGCAAATAAGCTACAGTGCCAGTTCAGATAATTGGGTTTAATGTGGCTTCTTCTACCCCTCCTTCCCCCCAGCCTTCCAGCTGACTCCAACATGTATCCCAAGAGCCTCTGTGACAGAATCCATATCCTATGATCCCTTGCTCCCCTACTGCATCAGCAGCTTTCCATTATTTGTCTGTTGTGCCTTTTGCCTTTGTTGGGTCCTTGTAGAAAGTTTTCATATATCTCTTCTACCCCATATCTGACTGTATTCCTAATAAAACCTGAGAATTTTTCTATCATCTTTTGTGGTTTTTTTTTAATTAATGCTCTTGCTTTGTATCCCTCCTCAACTCTACTTTCTGACTTCACAGGTAATTTATACTGCAGCAGCCTCTTTGTTCCCTGGCCTATTAGTGAAGCTACTTTTATTCATCCCATCTCCTGCATTTGTTGTTTTGGAGAGAAAAATCTCATTAAGCTTGTGCTGCCAAGTCTTTTCCCACCCTAATCTATACACTCTGATCCTGCTGTCCAACATCTTGAGCAGTTGTTCTACTGAAACCTCCCCACTCCCTGCTTTGTCTCCTGCCACACCACCATACCATTGTACCAGCCTATTTTATCTCCAAGAAGACTCCAACTCCAGAGAACATCATTATTGAGAAAGAATATTTTTGGTGGTTTCTCTTGCCACCATAACAAAAGCTAAAATTCCTCTTTTCCTTTGGAAAGCACTGTAAGGCATTGCTTGTATAAGGGGTGCTGATGGGGTGAGCTGTTGGTTCTAAATGTAAAATGCGAAGAACTAGACTGCTTACTGACTTGTGAGATGGGGTGCAGTTGTAGAAAGCAAAGTCCTGAGAGACAGAAGAGTAGGGCAGGTGTTATCAGGGAATGCTATGCATCAGGAGATGCTTATAGGGAAGGAATGCTTTTTGGGGTGTGGGAAGGCTACTTTATTCTGCATTCTAGCAAGTTGATAGCTGGCACTTATGTAGTTGTAGGACATTTTTAGTGATGGTACACATGGGGTAATGGGTCTAGATTCATCCAGAGATAGCTGGAAGGATATTTCTAGCTTACTCCTGAGTTGCTGATTTGGGCACTGGATTCAAGAGAAGTGGCAGGGTCTCTTTTGCCTGCCTCCCTGTCAATGGCAATGTTATTTTCAGTCACTGGGCCAGGTAGTTCAGCATTGTCATGAACCCTAACCCCCTCCCCTTAATTCATAGATGCTGTGCAGGATGCTGTATGATGTTTTCCTCTACATCCAAAAGTGTATCGAGGAAATGCCACTATGCCTTTAAGAAGGCAAAAGTGCACACTATGGGAAGTCTAGCATGGTTGTGGTAGTATTTGAAGTTTTTCTGTTTGGCTATTCACAGAGCTTGGTACAATGCCATAAGCCACAGTTGGAGTGTAAAGGCCTGATCTCTGGAAGTGCAGGGATGGATTGCGGATAGTGGTAGTGAAGAATCTGCCCATGGCTAGCTTGTTTGCCAAAGGTGTGTTCCAGAGGAAAACCATATCATGATTTCTCCACTAAACCCCTGCATAAATGTCTGTAAATCTCCCTTTAGAATACTAAAGTGCCTGGAGGAATATCAATGGGATTCAGTGGATTCTACTGGTTATCAAAGAGATACAGGGCTCAAACCCACAGGACAAAACAATGCAGATATTGGCATATGCTGTTTTACATATGCACTAAAGTCTCTCTCTCTCTCTCTCTCTCTCTCTCTCTCTCTCTCTCTCTCTCTCTGTGTCTGTATGCATGTGTGTGCGCATGTATGTTTGCATAACATAGGGATATTTCCTAAGGACACTCCTATTTTAAAAGAGGAATATATGGAAAGGGAAGAGGAAGGCATTTCATTTCAGGAAAAAGAACCCCCAAAAACCTCAGGCAGAAAGATTCAAGGGGAAGGAAGTCACAGGAAGTGAAGGGGCTCCCATCCTAGTGGGTTCCCCCCTAACACTGCGTTTGCAATAAAAGTTGAGCTTCACACACCAACTTGTCCAATGTGCAGATGTGCTTAATTATTGTCCAAGTCCCTTGCTAGATGCACCTTGTTGTTCTTACTATTTTTTTTTTTTTTGGACATGTGCCACCTGTTCAACAATGGGTAATGCTCCACTGCCAGTAGTTCTTCCTTTGATCCTTTGACTGCTGGTCTCAGTTGTTGTGCTAGCTCCTCAATCTGAACTTATTCCGATATAGCAATACCTTCAACCTCTTTTTCCCCTTGCCTCATTTCTGGGAAGCCAGAATAGGAGGGATTGTTTGGGTTTCGTTCAGTGAAGAGGTATGTCAAGTTGACAGCTGTCAGTGGTAATGATGCTCTCACCCTTGCCTGCCACATATTGCAGTGCAATATGTTGTTAGGCAGATTTCACTGTGCAAAATTGCTCATTAAGGGAGATTGGCACTGACTTTGGCCATTCCTGTGCAAAGATTCATTTTCAACAAGCCATGATGAAATTGATCCATCAGGTTTGGATGACGGTACCCCATTATGGATATGATAACCTCTAGAACAACCCATGGGTTGTCAATATGACTTCTTCATGAAAATTAAGACACCCTGCACTAGACATGGCAGGTTTACTTGTCATGACAGCCAGTCATGAGTAGTTGTCCAGGATGGTTTGTCATGTTGTGAGAACCAATTCAGTATGGGTGAAATACTGGCATTTTGGAGCACTTCAAATTGCCAAAATCATACTAAAACTGGGAAACAGACCAGGATCTTTGAGAATAGGAAAACTAAAACATGGATGAGTTTTATCTCTCTTTTCCCCAGAGTTTCTTTAAAAAGCCTTAGAGCTAATTGAGAACTGAGAGAGGCTTTACAGCTGATGGAGGTACTCTTCCTCCAAGGACTGCTATAATTTATGGAAATGGCTTTGCATCTGGCATTCAATCAGTAGAATGATAGTTGGTGACAAATAGTGTGAACTGATAATTGGGATGCTAGATATAAATGCTTGTGCATCTTTAGCTATGTTTTCTGGTCGCTGACCATCATCTGAAGTTCTGTAATACTACTGTGGAATACTTTATGAGAGAAAATATGTTATTTTTCATCTCTGGCTATGGAGAATTATTTTCTTAAATTCAGTATATACAAGTAATACATATGGAGATTTTGCAATGGCCTTGATACTCTGGGACTCTTTTTGAACAATGTTCTGTTTAGCCCGGGTCTGGCTTATACTCCTTCTGCCATTTCACTAGGCATCTAGTAGCCTGTACTTTGCAGGTATATTTTTATTTATTTATTTATTATATTTCTATCCTGTCTTTTCTCCTTTCAAGGAACTCAAGGTGGTTTGCATAAATCTCCTTCTCCTCTCAATCTTCTCATAACAACAACCCTGTGAGGTAGGTTGGGCTGAGAGTCAGTAACTGGTCCTAAGTCATGCAGTGAACTCCATGACTTAGTGAGGACTAGATCCCAGATCTCATGAGTCCCGGTCCTGCATTCTTAACTGCTGTACCCCACTGGCCCTCTCCCTCAATTTCTCCCACTCTATATATGGGTTGTTTCCACTCAAAATGCTGTGAAGGAATATGTCAGAATGAGGCTGCAGTTTTTCTGGGAGAGGGAGATGGGGTGCATAGCTAGTGAGGAGGGGATCACTTTGTAGGGAGTTCATGTCTCCTGATTGGAGTTATGTACTTATCTTACTGGGTGGTAGGGACTTACTAGGATGATAGAAAGTGTTGTCAGGGCAACAGAATTTTTATTCTCCTGCTCTTTCTCAGACCTTTACTACTCTCTGGGACATAGCCTAATGACCCTCCAACAACCACTGAATGAGGGTTACATTCTGCCCTCCTGCTGTCCTAATACAGCCCGTTAGGGTTCCCTAGATGACCCTAACGGGCTAGATGACCTCCTTTTCTCCCTATTCTAAAAGGTTGAAATGCCTAGTTATGGGTAGTAAGTGCCTTCAGCTACAATATGCTGAGTTTTTTCCTGCATTTTTAGCCCTACTCCTTTGGATCTCACATGTCACAGGAATCTGCTCCTCAAGAGTTTCTCTGAAATGGAATCTGGATCTCAGGTTTGACGAGATTCCCTAACCCAGCACTAATGTATATAATGTCTTTTTGTAAGGGGAGCCTATATTTATGTGATAGGATGCACTTTTCCAAATGGATTATGACCTGAATTACAACAGATAATCCAAGCAAAATGAAAGCTCAACAGGATTGTTACAGATCTACTTTCAATTGTGTTAGAATTTGGAAGATTTTATGGTTCATCTAATATTAAATTGACCTGATTTTCAATGTTGTCTGTGCTTTCCAGGTAAAGAAATGGACATTTATATGCTATTCATTTTAACTCCTCAATGGCATGTGAAGGAATGATTTTTAAAATTTGCTTTTGGATTAAAAATGTCTGCAGACTTTAAAAAAGGAGCATATGATTGCAAAACACCTATCAAGAAGTGGAACAAATAGCTAATCCTGAAGAAATATAATAAATCCTGGTTATGGTGCCATACTGGAGTGGAGTTAAAGCTGTATCACATAGGTAGCTTACTTCTTATAAATTATGGAAATATTGTGGAAGACGTTGACTTGGATGTTGTGCTTAATTATGGTTTTGTCAGAATTTCATGGTGACAACAGGCTTTCATACAATTCTCAAGGTAGGGATTCAACTTTTATGGTAATATATCTTGAAAGTTATTTCAGTTAATTTGTTTTGCTTAGTATTAATCTTTATATTCATTGTAAGGGATATGTGAAATTTAATTTTAGTCATTCTTTGAGGGATTAGAATTGGAAATGTATATACTTTTATAAGCAAATTAAAGTCAATATTTTAATGTGTTACTTCACAGTAAAGAAATCTAAAATTGAAGGGATATTTAAGTATCTAAAGCATTTAATGTAGGCCAAACCATGTATTAAAATGCTTGCTTTTCGTATGCTTATTAAGCAGTTTACAGCTTTGTCCAGGGCCCCATGTGCAATATATACACTTGAATTTCTCTGTGTGCAGGTTCCCCATTCATCTGAATGGATATTGTGGGTTTACCCATGCAAACACATCTCTGCATGGATTTATTTCTTCTGTTGGAATTATTTGATAACTCTTTTTTTGTGCATTACTTGAAGCTTGTATATCATGAACCACTCAATCTAGGACAGTTATTTTACTCGTCCTCTCTTGAAATAACTGGGACTTATTGGTAATGGGACTGTACTCTGAGTTATTTACAAAACAGTTCTTACCTTGCAAATATTTTTTTCAGTTAGTAAATGTGTAATCACTTATAACCTTCTAATAGTGTTACACTGAAAGTACATATATTGGAATAGGCAGAATACTTAAAAAAAGATGAGCAGATTTTTTAATTAAATTCTGTAAAAAAGATGAGAATTTTCATTAATGCTAGAGTAATACTTTTATTTAAGAAAATGTAAATTTTATTTAGTAAGGGAATAGTGTGTGATCAAAACAAAATTTGAAGGAATTTGGGTATAGTAAAATGTAGATAATATTGTACTACTCCTTCTTGTGTCTTGTTATATTTTTTTCTCTTTTATGCCCATTTCTTGGACTGATTTACCATGTGGTTTCAAAGAGGAATTCCTGTCTTATCTTGAACACTACCAACTAACAATCCCAATAAGGGTTGATCATAATGGAGCCTTCCTCAGCTTTACTGTGAAAAACACTAAGCCCTCCAAGAGAAAGAAGAGGAGTACTGAACATTATGACCAAGAACTGGCAGTTTCTAAATTATTTTTTAAACTTTCTGCCTATGGCAAGCACTTTCATTTAAACCTGACTCTCAACACAGATTTGGTCTCCAAACACTTCACAGTAGAATACTGGGGGAGAGATGGACCTCAGTGGAAGCATGACTTTTTAGACAACTGTCATTATACAGGATATTTACATGGCCAGCATGGTACAACTAAAGTAGCATTAAGCAACTGCAATGGTCTGGTAAGTGTAAGTAATATATTTTGGATTGTTAGTATTGATTCTTTAAGTGTGCAATCCTATGTTTATTTAGATGGACCCCCCCCCTCTCAATAATTTCCCAAATTCCTTAGTCTGTATGACAGCCTGAGGGAATTCTGGGATTTGGAGGAGATTTTTTGGCCTAAAAATACATAGGCTTGCATCCTAAAGTATACAGAAGAAAGCCTGCTGTGAACACAAATTCTATCTTAATTACCATTTTTATTCTTTGATTTCTGGATGTATTGTTGTCTTATAACTTTGTGTTTCCCACCCAGAGAAAGAGATACACAGTTGCACTGGAGTAAGCCTTATGGAACACACTGGGACATACTTCCAAATAAATGTGGCTAACTTTCTCAAGAATTGGCCCATATGTCCTATATGCTTTCCGATGAATATGCTATAATGCATGTGACTGTTGTTTTTGTATGTTGGTAGGCTTACTGCTGCAAAATAACAGGAACAACACAACATCTGTACATAGCCAAAAGCACTCTGCTAAATATGTAGAGTTTAAAGTCTTAGAAAAAGCAAAGGTGAAATTCTGTAACATGCTGGGAACTTTTTTACTTTCTAAAATTGCATGGGATTGTTTTCTTAAAGTTTGTTAGAGGGGAATTATAAATAACTCCCAGCATGTCCAAGGCATGCTGAGAGTTGTAGACCCTTTTCCCACCTAAACTTGTATGGGATTGCACCCTTAAGAAGGTTGTGTTAGTAGAGACTGCTAAATAATATCATCTGTAACGTAAAATATGAGTGGATGTTTTAACTGCAAGGGGAGTACTTTTCCAAGAGCCCCTTACTGCTGGCTTTCTTCTGATGGATGTCAGCCACATGAGGTCTTTTCTCCCTCAGCCAAACAGATAATAATTATGCTCTAGAGAAAAAGTGGCAGTCACTTTTTAAATAAAAACATATGAGTAACTACTGAAAAGATTAATTGTGAACAGACATTGTATTACTATATAAACCATATCCATTGTTAATCACAAATCTGAATCGATTGCAATGGCATGGACCAATTTACAGTGCAGTCCCATACAGATCTACTCAAAACTAAATTTCATTTAATTCAAAGGAACTTACTCCAGGCTATAGAATTTCAGCTTTATTCCTTTTACTTGCTCCTTCTCCTTTCAGCCATGCGTTGTGCTTCCAGAAAGGTGCTAATAATTCATCTCTTGTAAACTATAAGCAGAATTGTAACTGACTTTCTATATTACCAGGAATATTGGATTTGAGCTGTGTGTGCAGACTGTAAGTTCTATTCATATCAATAGGTGTAACATAGCTGTCATCTGAACATCAGCGTACAGTAAATTGATCCAGTTTGCATAATCAAAGCAAGCCACTATGGCTTAGGCCTGATTTAATTATCTGTGTGTGCTGGTGAAGTGCCAAACACCCTTTCCCAAATTACCTGCCCAGGCACAGCTTGTCATGTTGTCTGAATCCAGGCAACATGTCTTGTTTGAGAAGGAAACTACCCTAAAATCATCCATGGCCTTTCTTATATGATCCCACAAACCTCCATTTTGTGATAATAGTGCAGTATCCAGTCCACACACATTTCCTGGGGTATGGTTGGGAGCATAGTTCTTTCTACAGAGGACTGCACTGGCATTTATCCCTTTTTAATAAAAGGGTAGGTGTGTTATTTAGCATGCTAGACAGATGAAGTTTCTAACGAATACAAGTAAATTATTTTTGAAATTATGGCTTGCTGCTGGGGAGATAATAATCTTGTTCTTGCTTGTTCCTTTAAAAAGTGCTAAAGGAATATACATATACTCTAGTGTTAGAGTGGGTGGGTACCCAACACTTGAAGGATTTCAAATAAATGAAACTGCCAAAAGTTCATATGTGTGGGTGTGAAGGCAGAGAAATATTTTGCTTCACACCACAGGCCAGTAGCAACTGGTCAGGTAGAGCAGCCTGTCCAGGACATTGCTGGCTACTGACCAGGAATGCACTTGCATGCTGCTCTTTGCCTTTGCAGTCTCTGACACATTCCAGTAGATGAGGCCATGGGGCTTGTTTGCCTTTCAGTGGTAGCATTTGTCCACAAAGATAATGTGGTTTCACAGATAATAATGAATAATTATTATGTGCTGGTTTCACAGATAATAATGAATAATTTCCATATATTGCTTATGCAGCCGAATTATATATGAGAATTACAGTAGCAATGGATGTAATATGGGGGAGCAGGAGTGGGGAGAACAACAGTAAAGTTGCTATTTGAATGTCCTGAAACTGTAGTATTATTGCATCCTTTAGGAAAGCATCTGAAAATCTTTGCATTACATGGACAGCAACCATATAATTGTTATTGAGCAAAAAACCCTTTTATCTGTTTTATTTTAACAAATTAAAATATAATGTCAACTTTTATATAGGAATTGTCATTCGTTTTAGAAGTTTGCTTTGAATATTAGTATCTTACATAGTTGAATTTGTAATAGGTTTTATGAATGTGTAATAAGTATAATGTGAAATTAGATTCACAGGAATTTAACAAATCAGTGGGAGGAGTAACATAAGTTCCTCTTCTGAAATGCTAGTTACTCAAAATACAGTTTCCGGCATATTAGAATATCTGTTGGACCAGTTGGAGCAAAATACTTCTGCAAATATGAAAAACTCATAGAAAAAACAAATCCTTGTTACAATATCAGTGTTGTTAAATCATTGTAAAAGGTGTTCAGTCCAAGCATAAGAAGTGTTTTGTGTAAGCAGGCCACTTGTTGATGGGACACTGGTTATTTCAACAGTAAGTCTTATATGGAAAAAGTCTTGTACAGTTGTACTATAATTCAAGCCTAAAAATAACTATAGCGTAGTCAGTTACAAAATGATAAAAGAGCACACCATGTTTGGAAAGCAAGACACTACTCATTATTGTAGTAAACCTTAAAAGTATATAATCCACAATATGTGGAGACAGTTTTACTGTGCCACAGAAAGATGCCAGCCATGAGATCTTCAGAAATAGGATTATTGATCAGAATTCCTTGGTGTTGGAAAATGGCCAGTTTCTGTATTGAATGGGCTTTTGTTCCCATGTTAAAAGCTATACGGTATCTTTTCTGAAGACAGTGCTTGCCACCAATTTTGTGAAATGTTTTACAACCCTTACAGTTTTATGAAAATCTCAAGGCCTGTGGCACTCATGGGCCTGGATTATCTGCTGTAGGTAGGTTTGGAAGGGAAGAGAAGATGCACGATTTTCTTCCTGGTCCTACAGTGCAGTCCTATCTGTGGTAAGATCTAGAGAGTTCATAAACAAGGCTTGTACTAGCCAAATGGAACAGCAGTTTTTTTGTTTTTTTTTAATTAACGGATTCTTCTGCCACATTGCAAACTGCTTTTGAACTGGGATAGAACAAGAATGATGTAGATAATTGTACATTAGACAAGGACAGAGAAGATGTAGTTCAAACCTCTTCTCATGATAAAGCTTAGTGAGTAGCACTGGACAAATCATGTTCATCATTCAATCAGGTTGAAACACCACTGTCTGTAGCAGAGAGTGGGCTCTGGCTGGATTAATTTATAGCTGGCTGTAAATCAGCACAGATGGATATTTTGCTCATCCTGTTGCTTTTAAAGGAGACCCTATGCTGTACCTTCTGTTTGGACTTTTGATGCTTGTATTTGATCCTCCTTCTTTCCAAGGGGTGAATTCCTGGCTCTGCTTCTTGCCCTTGTGGAAGTCCTGGAGGAGCTGAATGGGGCTCAGGATGCTCTTCCAATGTAAGACTATTAGCTGCAGCATCAACTGGCTGTAGTTAGGGTCTGCTATGCCACCTCTCCTACTCTTCTTCCTTTAATGAATCCTCCTCCAGGTAGGGCATGATACACTGAATCACAGAGAAGTCTCCTAGTATAAATAATAAAAAGAATTATAATTGTACCACTCCTCTGTCTTTTACTCCATAATGGAGCTTTTTGAAGAAACAAAAAGTTGGAAGAAGAGGTGGGAAAATACAAGGGTTAGAAATGGAAAACAGCTCACTTCACATTACCGCTGCAGCTTAAACAAGCCACAGTGGCTTGTTTTAACCATGGCATATGCCAGTACTTGCCAGGCACTATTTGCCTAATTACCCACCCAGACATGGCTTGTCATGTTGTCATACCTAGGTGGCATAGCTTATTTGAGGAGGAAAGGCATGTGTTATTGGAAGATTGTTTCCTCTTCGAATAAACCATGTGGCCTGGGTTGGAATAACAAACCAGTCACACCCAGCCAGGTGATTAGGCAAACAGTGCTCAGCATTCAATGGAGCATGACACAGCTTAAAGAAACCACTGGTACTTATTTAGTCTGTAGTGATCATATGAGCTAGACTGATGTCTGAATTGCCATAAAATTCTGTGGAGGATACAGACCAATTACAAAATAACCACTTCATTTGGAAGCACTCTAACTCACAATGTTCTAAAGCCTTATTCACACTAAATGTTCATTATGACATACTATCATAGTTTCTGACAGCTGCCTCATACAGTAAAACACCTTTTAGGTGCTATGTTGCAATCCATATGAGCCCTTACTGTGCATGTTTTACTTCTATAAGCCATTTCTGTAAGTAGATTTCAGCAGTGTAAAGAATCACATGTCAAGCAGCTGCCCCGAAATAGCTTCTTGTACACCAAAGCTACTACACAGTTGCAGTCGCTCTTAATTTCTGCTTTTCCTTTATATGTCCTGAGCAGAAGGTCTTCCTAATGACTTTTAGATATTTTTGTATTTTGACCAATTGTTTTACCTTGAATACACATTGTTACCCACCTTGGGTTTTGTAAGAAGTTGAGGTGGATTCACATTTCAAAAACAGTAATGAATAAATACAAGCAGTTTCCACAAAGCAGCCATTTTGTGTGGAAAAACCTCAATGCTTATGGTTTAGAAAACTGTACTTCATTCTGTTTCAGATTGCAGTTAGTTGGAATATATTATCAGAACACCT